CCRTTMMTTWWWWTTWATTTGCGCTTATCGAAAAATATCACGTTGTGTTTTTCTGCAACTGAACGCTTCACATTAAAATAACGATTTCACTTTCAGTTTAGTGTTGAGAAGGGTTTCAAAAGCCTTTAAAAGGAGCCCTTAAACGAAACTTTTGGTTGAGGTAAAACGGAGAAACGAATTTCTGATCAAAATTATAACTCTTTGCTGCTAGTTGATTTGCCTGAAAGCTAAATTTAAATTAAAGGCTGTGTTACAGTATTGGCAAATAATGGATTTTGGATGGAATTTTATTTACAAGAGGCAGCTGGTCAAGTTCCTACACTTTATTCAATTCATTAGTGCGTTGCCGATGTTAGCTCAGTGTTTAATTTCTTTCACAAGCCTTAAGTGTATTTCCTTTTGAATAAACGTCGATTGCATAGAGTTGCCAGTATATTTTCAATTTGTCTTGGATTATTCGTGTTGTCGATGAAGATGAAGATGCAGATGAAGATAACCAGTCCATTCCGGTTGCCATGCCAACCACGTGAAACTGACCAATCCGAGTCATGATTTTCATTGGCACATTTCATTGCATGACGCTGGCGTGTCTGAGTCTGAGCGAATAGTTCTATATTTTCCTCTCCGTTGGAGATGAGGACATTATAGGAGAACAGGCTCGAAAAGAATACAGTAAACTTTCGAAAGCAAAGAAACAAAGCTGAGTTAAAAATGTCAGCGAGTTTGTAGATTAGCATGTTGCATGCGCCTGCTTAGCATATTTTCGCTCGCGACCAGGAATGTCAACAAAAGGGCTTTTCCTATGTTCCAATTCACAAATGCGAATCAGTTTACTTTTTGTGTATGAGGTTTCCTTAGCAACATTTGAAACTTCAGTAAGCTTTCCAATGTAAAAAAGAGAAAGGGATTTTTTTTAGTGGGAACTAACGTTTTATTCAATTTCACAAGTTTCTGCCATTCCTTTGATGAATGGTTGGTGTAACTTTTAAAATGTGCTGTGGCAAAAGTCAAATGGTTAAGATCTTAGCATTGTTCTTCAGTAGCGAAACATTTTTATTAGCTTACAGAGGAAAAACATTTAAAAATTTGCAGTTTTCAAACCAGACCTGGAGGACTCAATCGCAAACCCAAAACCTTCGATATTTTTTTGCTACACATTGCGGTTTGATGCAATGGCTATGGCATCATCATCTTACATTTTTAGCATGATAAAAGTTCCAGCTTTCCACTTTTAATTATAAAGTTAATTTTAACGAAACAATAGTGTGTCAAAACATCATTCGAGCATGAAACTGGAAACAAAAGAAATATATCACACCTAACATCAAAGCGTTTGCAATCGTGCAAGCTAGCTACATTTTCGGAAATTGTTCGTACCGTGAATAATGAATATTCAATTAGAAAAACAATAGAGTGCATATATGAATACTTAATCGACCCACAAAATGTGGGTTAAACTACTCGTGCCATGAAATTGTTCGTGCCGTGAATAATGAATATTCAATTAGAAAAACAATAGAGTGCATATATGAATACTTAATTGACCCACAAGATGTGGGTTAAACCGTCATGAAGTTGTAATGATGAGTTGGACTTCATTGTTTAAGAAACATCAGACAGAACAATTGACAAGGCCAGCTTCACAGGATTTTTTGCCTCATGAATGCTCACCTAGGCTTAAAGGTTAAATTTGCATGTGGGACAGACACTATAAAGTGACAGGTTCTAGACTTCCTGATTCTTACCATGCCAGGGAGGTAAGGTAATACCCCTGAACATGCAGATCAACAAAATTAATGGTGAAAGTGAAAGTGAAGGTGCCATAATGCATCAATTCCACAGTCGCTCTATCAAGTCACATGCTCGAAATATAAATGCAATTTTTGAGAATAAACTTAAGAAACTAAGAACTAAAACGATCAAAAAAGCCGCAGTGGCTGAGAAATGGGAAGAGGTACTATTAGCAGTTACACGTACAGAGCAAGCAATTAGCAAAATCTATCTTTCCTTTAAGCAATTAGCCAAACTGTAATAAGGTGCTTTATTCAAACGCACAAGCACAGATTTAAGGTTCATACTCACAGTTGCCGAGAATAAAGTCCTTCATCGATCTGCATTTGACCATCCATAATCCCATTCCCGTCTGACATCGAGGCCTGTACAATTCAATTAACACTGAACTCATCGTATCCCGAGCGCAAAACATTCATAATTTACGCCTAAACACCGTACTCGTGGATCTCAGCAAAAACCCAAGAATGCAGATCAAAAGGTTGGAATAAACTATAACCTACCTGATTTCCTGAGTGATTTTCGTGAGATACAGAGTTTGTTTGACCGTCCGAATTTGAAATTTTCCTTCTTTTCGCTGCTGGAGGCGTTGGGACCGTCTCCTGATCACAATTTGATGACATCTACTGCACTCATCAAACTAAATGGCAGTTCTTTCGTTATTGTTTTCTAGTCTTGTGACGTGAAGCTTTTTATGTTGTATTTTCACTTTGGGATACGCTGAGAAAAATCGGAAAAGTTCACCAAGAAACTGACGTTTTCCAACGTGACTCACCAGAAAAGTGAGATAAAGACCCACATGGTAACCAGGCTTTATAAAAGCTGTGTAACCACGCCATTTTTCAACATTCCAGAAAATGACGTCTCCAGCAAGTGGCCTTTCCTGCGTTTACTGAATATTTTTTTTAAGTTTAATAACACTCTGAGGCCTCTATTTTCCTCTCTCTTTGTTCTTAGAAATGCTAAATGCTTGTTTAAAGGGATGTGAACACTAAGACCTCAAAATTCAGAGTGAACCACGATCGTAAATTGAGACCACGATCCTAAAAGTCAGCTGTTTCTATGGAAACAGTACCAGAGAAACAGAAGAGAAGAAACTCCATTGCAAACAGGAACATTGAATGTTGATACCAAAAAAAATCAGGCTTCTTAAGTCTTGAAATGTCTACCCCAGAAGACAGTAGAGAGGCTCAAGGTACTAGTGAGGGCAATAATGAAGGACAACAGCAAGATGGCGAGCCTTCAGGTGAAATCTCAGAAGAACCAACAGAAGTTCTCGACCAAGATGGCGCGAGCGTTGAGATTAGTGCAGATTCTGCACAAGCCACTGACACGGTAAAAGAAGGCGACGATGAAACAGAAAAAGCTGATCAAAAAGAGGAGAAAGGCGAAGCCATTGATATGAACGATGATCCTACAGACGTAAGTCGAACGGAAGAAATGAAGGAAACTGCTGTTGAGGAAAAGACTGATCATGAAGAAGATGGTCGCACAATGGAGGAAACCCCTTTGTCTGTGGTTATTTCGGAACCAGATAAAGACGTGAAAACCCAAGAATCGAATGCTCAAACAGAAGGAAGGGAATCACCTCTGGGTGAAGCGGATGATTCAGCTGCTAGCACTGGAAAGGTGGATGACCAAGTTGTCGAAACTAAATCGGAGAGTGAATCACCTTTAGTCGCCCCACCGACTTCCAAAGCTGATAGGTCTGTAAACAGTGAAACACCGATGAGAGATACCAGGGACCAGTTAGAATCCGGAGGAATAGCCAGGGATGGCTTCAGTGCAAATGGTAAGTTACTGATTCAATACCTTACATGTATACTCTAACCGAACATACATACATACATACATACATACATACATAAACTTTATTGAAGTGAAGGTATTTAGCTAAAAGCTAATTGTGGACACTATAAATGAATAACATGACTATAATATAAGATTAAATAGAGTATATGTAAAAATATCAAGGATATATTCTCAAAATATCATTAATATATATAAAAAGCATCAATATATGAAATTGTCACAGCCAATCATATAAGCAGCAATAGAATGTATATACAGAATTTAGAAAGTTAAGAGTCTAGAAAATTTAAATAAGACGAATTTAAATAGAGGATAGGGGAGCACACTCCCAATAAACCAAGCAGCCACACAGCAAAAGCCACTTGATAAGCATGCACAGCAGCCACACATGCCATCCAGCAAGCCAAGCACATTGAGAGCATGCACCCCTCTCCTGAATGCCTGAAGACTGGTGTTACTGCATAGTTCCTGGCTTATCTTGCCCCATATGTGTGGCCCTAAATATCTGATACTGTGCTTGCCATACTAAACAGTATTATATCAATCAATCAATCAATCAATCAATCAAAGTTTATTGTCTAACGTGAGGCATGGTTGCCCAATTGCCCGAGCCAGAGGCTCATGTATAAAACGGTAGACTATAAATTAACTATGATTAAAGGTATATTATTAGAAGTACTTAAAACTTTATAGGTAAAAATATATAAGTTTAGAGTACGAGTGATAATTGTAAAATTGTAGGTGATTAATATTGATAGTTAAAAGAGTCTAAACATTATGTTCGGTGAAAGATATTGCAGTAGATGAATATGAATAAGAATGACAATGTATGTGTACGTACAATAAAAGTCAACTACATGTATTACATTTACAGATTGGTCCTAGAGTGCTAAAATCGAAATTCTTAAGTTTACTACAAAAATCGCTAAGCGTAGATGCTGTTTTAATTTCTCTAGGTAAACTGTTCCAAAGGTGACTAGCTTTATATGTAAAGGAATTATGATACGATCTATTATTATACCCTGGTTGCACTAGATTTACACCTTTATTCCTTAAACTATATCTAGATTCCCGCAATTTAAAAAAGTTTTTAATATATTCCGGACCGTTCCATTTCATACATTTAAAAAGTAAAACCAAGGAAATATAAAATCGCCTATGTTCTAGAGTTTTCATGTTGCTTTTAGCTAAGATTGTATTGTAATCAACATTATTGCCGAGATTAAGCAAAGTTTTGAGTGCGTACTTATTGACTGACTCAAGTTTAGAGCTCAGTGTTTTATTTATTCCAAGCAATAGCGGACTACAGTACTCCAGGTGAGGAAGTATGTA